TGCCTCCAACTGCCCTCCCCTGCTGGCCTGATCTTGCCCCCAACGGCCCTCCCCTGCCGGCCTGATCTCGATCCCAACTGTCCTCCATGCTGGCCTGATCTCGCCCCCAACTACCTCTGCCTCGGCCCCCACCACCATGGCTTTGTCCAGAAGGAAGTCGGTCGTCCGGAAGATAGCCAGTTGACCCAGTCTAATTAGCATATTACCCTTTTATTAGTATAGATAGATTATATAGGATAGGATTGCTTAAATGGGGGGAAAAGCCTTTTTCAGCAGGAGGAGATGCTCTTGGAAGACAAAAATACATAATCCCTATATCTGGCCTGTTAGCCAGCCATATGCACTATACTGCAAAACCGGTCATTAAAAAATTGAACTGCTTTCTTACACCTTATACCAGGGGTGGGCAAACTTTTTGACTCGAGGGCCACAATGGGTTCTTAACACATTGTTTGCGGGTAGTTTTTATCGCGCGCTAACAGGTGGCGTGGGCCATTTTTGCTAATTTTTTGCGCAAATGGCAACGTTCAGTAAAATTATGATAACTTTAGTTTACGTATTTATACGTTACCCGCATTCTACCGCTAGTCTATAAAAAATGTATTAATACATGTCCCACGCTCTACTACACTGGTAGAACGTATAAATATGTAAAACGTGTTAACACGTTTCCTGCATACAATGTGTTAAACTGGACCGGAGGGCCGGAACAAAAGCATGGATGGAGTGTTTGTGTGAACTAATATAAATTCAAAGTAAAGAGTTGAAGGAGAAACCAAGATGGCGGCATAGGTTAACGCTGGAGATTGCTGCCTCGAACAACCACTTCAAAAAACAACAAAAAGACGGAACGGACATCATCCAGAGCCACAGGAAGGCTGGCTGAGTGGAAATTCTACAACTAGGAGGAAAGAGAATATCATACCCAGACTCAGAGGAGGCGCAGTGCTGAAGTGAAATACTAAGGTGCAGAGTGCACGTGGAGCGGGCTGGAGGCGGAGGGCGCGGTTGTTGTTTTCAATCGGGAGGGAGTTTCAGACTCTGAGCTCCAGATCCGGGCGAGTCTCTAGGGACCCAGACTCAAACGGGAGAAGCGGGACTGTCTGGCTTCGGTCAGAACTCGAAGGCAGCTTTCTCTCCAAGGTTTGCAGCGGTTGCTGGGACTCTGTGAGGCAGAGCCCCTAGGGACGGAACTGAGAGCAGCCATAACTACTTGCTCCGGCCCGCCCTGTAGATCCCTGGGGACCCGCCCCGCCCAAGCCCTGCGCAGAGCCATTTGCCGGATAGCCTCAGGCAAAGGCTAGATTAGCACCTCCCTAGAGGACAGAAGTTTTCCCACTGCAGACACAGCTGATTCTCACAGCCAGCTGGCCTGGAGGTCAAATCCCCCTAGTATTAACTACAACAATCAAGGCTTAACTACAGGAGGACTGCACACAAAGACCACTAGGGGGTGCACCAAGAAAGCATAAAAAAATGCGGAAACAAAGAAACAGGACAAAACTGTCAATGGAGGATATTCAGTTCAGAACCACACTTTTAAGGTCTCTCAAGAACTGTCTAGAAGCCACTGATAAACTTAATGAGATCCTCAACAAATCTAATGAGACCCTCGATGTTATGATAAAGAACCAACTAGAAATTAAACATACACGGACTGAAATAACGAATATTATACAGACTCCCAACAGCAGACCAGAGGACCGCAAGAATCAAGGCAAAGATTTGAAATGCGAAGAGGCTAAAAACACCCAACCGGAAAAGCAAAATGAAAAAAGAATCCAAAAATACGAAGATAGTGTAAGGAGCCTCTGGGACAGCTTCAAGCGTACCAACATCAGAATTATAGGGGTGCCAGAAGATGAGAGAGAGCAAGATATTGAAAACCTATTTGAAGAAATAATGGCAGAAAACTTCCCCCACCTGGTGAAAGAAATAGACTTACAGGTCCAGGAAGCGCAGAGAACCCCAAACAAAAGGAATCCAAAGAGGACCACACCAAGACACATCATAATTAAAATGCCAAGAGCAAAAGACAAAGAGAGACTCTTAAGAGCAGCAAGAGAAAGAAACTCAGTTACCTACAAGGGAGTACCCATACGACTGTCAGCTGATTTCTCAACAGAAACTTTGCAGGCCAGAAGGGAATGGCAAGAAATATTCAAAGTGATGAATACCAAGAACCTACAACCAACATTACTTTATCCAGCAAAGCTATCATTCAGAACTGAAGGTCAGATAAAGAGCTTCACAGATAAGGAAAAGCTAAAGGAGTTCATCACCACCAAACTAGTATTATATGAAATGCTGAAAGGTATCCTCTAAGAAGAGGAAGAAGAAGAAAAAGGTAAAGATACAAATTATGAACAACAAACATGCATCTATCAACAAGTGAATCTAAGAATCAAGTGAATAAATAAACTGGTGATCATAATAGAATCAGGGGCATAGAAAGGGAATGGACTGACTATTCTTGGGGGGGAAAGGGGTATGGGAGATGTGGGAAGAGACTGGACAAAAATCGTGCACCTATGGATGAGGACAGTGGGTGGGGAGTGAGGGCGGAGGGTGGGGTGGGAACTGGGAGGAGGGGAGTTATGGGGGGAAAAAAGAGGAACAAATGTAATAATCTGAACAATAAAGATTTAATTAAAAAAAAAAAAAGAAAGATCAGAAAAAAAAATTCAAAGTAAACATCGTTACATAAAAGGGTACGGTCTTTTTTTTTTTTTTTTTTAGTTTTATTCATTTCAAACGGGCCGAATCCGGCCACGGGCCATAGTTTGCCCACGGCTGCCTTATACCAAACAGCTGTTGCCCTTAAAACCCCTCTTCAGCCCCCACCTTAGGTTCTGCCATCGCATTTCACCCAGATTAGGTTCTGATTGGTCGGTTTCTATGCCAGTCAGCATCAAAAGCTCTGCCTCCTAGGCAGCCATTGGCTCCTCGCACTTCACCCAGATTTTGTTCTGATTGGTCAGTTTCTATGCCAGTCAGCGTTTCCAGGCCTATGTCAGGTCTGATCAGAGAGGTGGGGCTGATCAGCAGCCACCCCAGGCTGCTGGCAAGCTGGCTGAACTTCTGACCTCTCGAAGAGAAAGAGAGAGGCGTAGCTGCTGGCAAGGCCCAGAGATAGAGACAAGGGCTGATCAGCAGCTGCCACAGAGGCTGTGGATCAGACCCTGCTTCTCTCTCTGGGCCTGACCAGCACCCACGGCAGCTGCTGATCAGCCCCGCTTCTCTCTCTCTCCAAGAGGTCAGCAGTTCAGCCCACTCACCTGTTCCCGCCCACCGGAGCCTGCTGTGTGCACAGCCTGGCATTCAGTCATCCCTTTGGTCGTTTTTGATGTTATAGACCCTGACTCTTTATATAAATAGGTATTTTGACAGATAGTGGGGCAAAGTGCTCACATTATCCTTCATTGTGAATATTTTATTGGTTATTACTATTACTCTTAAATTGCATTTTGGGTTTAGGTTACCAAATCTCATTTAAGAAATCTTGTTTGGGATTTATTGAATATATGATTAATTTGATAACTTGATAACTATCTTTTTAATAAGAGTGTTCCTATATAGGAACTTAGGTAGTATCTCCTAAGTACATTCACATCATTAAATTTTTTTTATGTATCTCAATACATAACAAATTTAGTTATTACAGTAACCAGAATCTCTAATAGTGTTGGACAGCAGTAGTGATAGTAACAATTTTTGACTTGTTTCTATCTCTGTTGGAAATGCTTTTGTTTTATATGAAATATGTTGTTTTGGGGAAGTTTCTAGTAGATGCCCTTAATGTGGTTGAGGACATTTATTTCTAGGTAAATGTGGATTTTCTTTTATCAGGAATAAATGTTGAATTTTATCAAGTGTTTCTTAAGCATCTGTTGAGATATTCACTTTTCCTTAATTTTTTTCATGTTATGAATTATACCAGATAAAGGCTTATCCTTGCTTTTCTGAGAAAATATCATTTAGCTTTTAAAATATAATGATACATTTATTTTTGCTATTATTCCACTTACAGAGCTGCCTTTAAAGTTTGTTTTTTTGTGTGTGTGTGCTGTCTTATTTGATGATGGGGTTTTAAGATGTAACATATCTTTATGGCCATATTTTTTGTATCAGAAAACAATATTGAGTGATAAGGGAATGCAATTTCATCTCTAGTTATTATATTACTAGGGGCCCATTGCACGAAGAGATTCATTCAATAGTCCTTCCCTTCCCCTGGCTGCCAGCACTGGTTTTCCTCTGGCACCCGGGACCCAGGCCTTTGCTCCGGCTGGGGCCTTCAGTCTTCGCTCCTCCACCTCGCACCTATGTATGCAAATTAACCGCCATCTTTGTTGTGTTAATTTGCATACTCTCCTGATTGGCTGGTAAGCGTAGCTGAGGGATGGTCAATTTACATGTTTGTCTATTATTAGGTAAGATGTTCTGAATATGCTCACTGTATAGTCAGGTAAAAGGTGGAACTAAATAGTTTCTAATAGGTTATTATTGACCTGTTGTTTTTTTAAATCCTCACCTGAGGATATTTTTCCATTGATTTTTTAGAGAGAGTAGACGAGAGAGAGGGAAAGACAGAGAGAAATATTGATGTGAGAGAAACACATGGATTGGTTGCTTCCTGCACAATCTGACCAGGGCCTGGGCTGGGAAGGAAGGAGCCTGCAATCAGGGTATGTGCCTTTGACCCAATTGAACCTGGGTCCCTTCAGTCCGCAGGCTGACACTTTATCCATTGAGCCAAATTGTCTAGGGCTTATTGACCATTTTTGAAAGCTACACAAAACTACAAGAATGTAAATCTATATTTTCATATTCTCAAGTTTTCATTTCTTTAAATTAAATTTATTGGGGTGACATTGGTCAACATGAACATATAGGTTTCAGGTGTGGGTTTCTATGTTATAAGATCTGCATGTTAAAGATTTTAAATATTGTGATCTAACAAATACTTAACCAATTTACCTTTTTCTTTTCCTTTAAAGTTTATTGTGAAGGACTCTGTTGAAGAAAATATGCTGAAAATACAAAATACAAAGAGAGAACTTGCAGCTGGAGCCTTTGGAACAAAAAAAACAAATGCCAGTGAAGTGAAACAAGCTAAAATTAATGAAATCAAAACTTTAATTGATTTATAATTTGTGGGATTTTGGTAAGATTGGTTTGATCAGATATATAGTTGTTTTAGAAATGAGAAAAATACAGTTTTAGAAATGAGATCTCGTGAATATATCTTCTAGAAGGGGCATGGTTTTTTGTCAGTGAAGTAGTATTACTGATACATAATCTCTTCTATATATGAACCTATATTTTAATGATATTTCAAATAGCAGTAAGTTCTGTTATATACTGTGGCCTAAAAGAATTTTTTTGAGAAATAAAGTTACTTTGTTATTGAAGTTTTCATAGTATCTCTGCTGAGTATTTTCATATATCTTGCAAGTACTCAGCTTTTTCATATTTCAAATAAGGTAAAACCTTTTATACTTTTGACCAAATAAAGAATTATTTTCTATGTTGGACACATTTGGTTTTCCATCAATCCTCCTGTTTGTGATGCCAATGGATTCAATAGTCCTTGTAAGCTATGCATATATACACAGTCTATAGAAAAGATTTGTTTTATTGGACTTTCAAAGACCATATTTGCATTCCAGAACCAAACCTTAAAATGAGAGACCAAAGTCCAAGTTAGTAATTTACTTATAATTTTTTTTTTTTACAGTTTCATTGAGATATAATTCATATAAGTGATTTGCAATTTTATGTTCATGAAAAAGATTAGGGACTGTGTTAGAGTACTGTGTTCTCCATTTTAGTCAGGTACTATTCATTGCTTAAATGTAACTCGATGTGTTAGTGTGTAAATATGGTCTGTGGGGGTGAAAGGGACCAAATTCTACCCAATTTGATTTAAATTATGGAATTGCTGAATAGATATTTCTATATATAGATAACTTTTATTTATGTAGGTTTTTTAAAAAAATAACTTTATACATTTTTATAATTCTGAAGACTACTATATGTGAGAGGTATAATACCTAGATGGAAGTTGGACTGGATGACCTCCAAAATAATTTTGACTCTTAAAGACATCTTAGTCCTGAAAGGAAAAATGTCTTTGTTATTGTGTTTAGAATCAGAATTTGTGTTTGGACCTTCAGTAATTCATCCTTCCATCTATCTACAGAATTTATCATCTTTCTGTTACTTTTCTGTTAATCAAACTCATAGTAGTTGCCATAGAATTCTAGATGATTCTTTGAATCACATTTAAAATACATAAGCTATAATTCAGCAATCAGATTAGGCAATCAGTGTTGTTCTTCCCTTAAGGGAAACTTTTTTTTTTTTAATTCAAAGAAAGAAGAGATTAATTACTGTAATAGGAGAAGCTTTATGTTTGATGATCCAGACTAGAGAACACCTTATATTTTACTTGTAGTGTTAGAAAGATAGGAAAGATAGGAAATTGAGGCAATGTTGTGTTCTGGGGCACACATCTAAGGTTTATGCTAAATCTATTAACAGCTAAGTCCTCTCTTTCCAGTGTCCTGTCTCTTGCTTCAAGGAAACAGTGGGTTAGATTGCAAGAATTTTTCCAGTTTCTTTTCTCTTTGGCAGTAGGTGAGGTAGGGCTGATGAAAAGGATCAGCAGACCTTTCTACAGGGACAAGAGTGGACAGGGACACTAGCATTAAGGAGCAATGGGGAAGTTCTTTACATTATGGGACTAGCATTACACAAAAAATTGGGTGGATCAAAATCTCATCAAATACAGTAAGTGGATTCTCTATATACCAGTTCTTCAGAGAGAGTAAATATAAAAGGAGTCGACAAAAAAACAATACAGCCTAACTCTTCTGGCTTACAAAAGTAAAGTCTTGCAAGCTCACTATAGAGGTGAAGACTGCTTGCTTCTTTACCCAGACATTTACATACTTGTGTTTTTAAACACATTCATAATAAATTTGGCGAGTCATTTAAAAATACCTTTCTGTTTTTGTATAGTTCTATTAAATGGTGTTAAGTAAAAAACAAGTTTAATCCATCCTAAGAAAATATATAAACCACTGGAATGAAAACTTCACATTATGCTATGTTGTTAATTGTTTCATTATTATGTAGAATAATAGCTTTAGAAGTATCTTGAAGGCATTGTATTCCCACTTGTGGTTCAAACTGAATTTTGTTTTAAATCTAAAATCAATAAAAGTTTTAAAAATTTATTCGCTTCCTCAGTGCCATAATTTTAATGACTTTTTCTTTAAAGAAAATTTAATCTTTCATAAATATCACACTTCTATGAAGATGTCTATATTACTATATTAGTTGAGTTTCTTGCTTAGAAATCAGTGTATATAATTTTTTACTTTATGTTAAATGTATTGATATTCAAAAATATTGGTTCTAATTATTTTTTTACTTATGATAATACCTATGTATAGTGGTGTTACTAAATGATACACACTGAATTGTAGATTTTGCTCTATTACAGCTCTAGGATTGGAAATAGTTAATCAAGAAAATGATCTTCTGTTTATTGTCAGTGAGTACCAATGAAATTATCCTCCAACAGTGTCTGTTTTCTGTTAGGGGACACCAAAGACATTGGTATATTTTTTTATTTTTTTATCATACTTGCCACAGTTCTATTCATTGGGATTTGGAAGATTCACCAAAATTATGAAGACAATTTTATGTTTGGCTCCTTAAAAAGAACTCAGATGTTTAACCTTAAGTTTTTAAGTATATTAACTTTAAAATATTTGCAAAATATGTAATATAACAGCTTACCCTCAGTTAATTCATTATTGAGTATATAGTAACATTTCTTACATGTTCTACATTGTGGATTTGGTACCTAGTTTGTGTGGTACTTCTGAATAAAAAAGCTAAAAATACTAGTAGCTATGAAGGACTGCCTCCCTGCCGTCTTTCCAGTGGCCTGGAAACCTATAAGCAGGCATAATGTTTTCTTTCATGTTGATATATTTGCACTTATTGTGTAGTAATGAGGGGGAGCAGTCTTCTATAGAAAGCCATGATAATTTACTCCTTTTATATATATTTACTCCTTTTGTGTGATTTCTTATTCCCAATCAGATCTTTTAATGGTAAAAATGGGATATTTTTTTCTCTCTGTTCTCCCTACTCAACCTTCCTGATCAAGAATGGTCTGACAAATTTAAACCCATTTCTAATTTAAATTTATAAATTAATTTCCATATGAAAATATAACTTTAATAACATATAATTTAATGTCTGTGGCACAGGCCACCTCTATTAACTTGAACCAGGTATCCAAAACTTTATACTAACTAGGCTGCCCTGGGACCTCCAGATTTTGAGCAGATGTCAAAGTGACTTATTAAGCTAGTGGATGAAACAGATTCTAGGGCATGTCTTGGCACATTTGAAACCCAGTCTAGACTATTTTAAGAGGGTATTCAATGTGATCAGAGTGATATTAAGAGTCATCAAAGAGGCATATTGTTAAATACGTGTTCTGTTTCCTAGAGCAGAGATAATGGTCTAATGTCTTAGGAAGGTTTTCATTAAGTCTGCTGTCTTTTTAGCATTATAATTTATTAAAAATAAAGGCAGATAAAGTTAACCGGGACACAGCTTCCTGAATCCACGAATTTACCCCTTTTGTTAAGGGAGGGAAGGGTTATTCCCTAATGGTACATTGTAGGGTTAAAAAAAAGTTTTGCACTGGTAACAACAGTTGATAAAGAAAAGGTAAATTAAATATTTCATGAGAAATGGTCTACCGCAGGAGTCTTTTTTTAAAAAAATATATATCTATATATATATATATATATATATATATAGATATACATATACATACACACACACACACACACACACACACACACACACACACACACACACACTAGAGGCCCGGTGCACAAAAATTTGTGCACTGGCAGGGGGGAGGGGGGTGTCCCTCAGCCCGGCCTGTGCCCTCTCGCAGTCTGGGACCTCTCGGGAGATAATGACCTGCTGGCTTAGGCCCACTCCCGGGTGGCAGAGGGCAGGCCCAATCCCTAGGTGCAGCCCCTGGTTGGGCTTCAGAGCAGGGACGATTGGGGAGTTGGGGCACCGCCCCCTGTCATGCACATAGCAGGGCAGATTGGGAGGTTGCGATGCCACCCTCAGTCATGTTCAGGGTAGGGCTGATTGGGGGGTTGGGGCACCGCCCCCTGTCACACTCAAGGCAGGGTCGATAGGGAGGTTGCAGCGCCACCCCGTCATGCACAGAGCAGGGCTGATCAGGGGGTTAGGGCGCAGCCCCCTCCCTGTCACACACAGAGCAGGGCCCATCAAGGGGGTTGGGACTCCGTACCCTGTCACACACAGAGCAGGGCCAATGAGGGGGTTGGGGAGCTCTCCCCTGTCACGCACAGAGCAGGGCCGATCAGAGGGTTGAGGAGCTCCCCCCATCACTCACAGAGTAGGGCGGATCAGGGGGTTGGGGTGCTGCCCTCTATCACCCACAGAGCAGGGCCGATAGGGGAGTTGGGGCACTGCCCCCTGTCACACACACAGCAGGGCGGATCAGGGGGTTGGGGTGCTGCCCTCTATCACCCACAGAGCAGGGCCGATCAGGGGGTTGGGGCGCCGCCACTGTCACATTCAGGGCAGGGCCGATGGGGAGGTTATGGCTCTACCCTGTCACACACAGAGCAGGGCCCATGGTGGGGAGTTGGAGCGCCACACCCTGTCACACACAGAGCCGCAGGACGATCAGGGGGTTTGGTCGCTGCCCCCTGTTACACTGCTCCAGGGGCCAGGAGGCCTCGCTGCTCCGCTGATTCCGGTGCTGGGTGGCATATTACCTTTTTACTATATAGGATAGAGGCCTGGTGCATGGGTGGGGGCCAGCTGGTTTGCCCTGAAGGGTGTCCTGGATCAGGGTGGGGGTCCCCACTGGGGTGCCTGGCCAGCCTGGATGAGGGGATGATGGCCATTTGCAGCTGGTCACACCCCCTTCAGGGTGGGGGTCCCCACTGGGGTGCCTGGCCAGTCTGGGTGAGGGGATGATGGCTATTTGCAGCTGGTCACACCCCCTTCAGGGTGGGGGTCCCCACTGGGGTGCCTGGCCAGTCTGGGTGAGGGGCTGAGGGCCGTTTTCAGGCTGGCGGGTGACTGAAGCTCCCAACCACTCTTTTTTTTATTTTTTTTTTTTATTCTGTGCCAGCTTTAGCTCAGGCTTGGCTCCAGCTCTGAGGCCTCGGCTGCTGAAAGCAGGTATCTGGTTTGTTTGGGTTCTATAATTGTAACACTGTTGCGGTCCTGCTCCCTCCAGCTCTGAGATCCCGGCTGGCTGAAAGCAGGGATCTGTGTTTGTTCTATAATTGAAACAATGTTGCGGTCCTGCTGGCTGAAGCCCGGCTGGCTGAAAGCAGGTTTCTGAGGTTTTGTTTAGCTTCTATATTTGTAACAATGCTTCTTAAACTGAAAGCTCAGAGGCCGGTAAGGCAGGCAGGGAACGTTAGCTTCCTCCGTCACTGAAGCAAGCAAGCCTCCTGTTTGCTTCAAGCTGCCTGGCTTTCAGCCGCCATCTTGGTTGGCAGTTAATTTGCATATCACCCTGATTAGCCAATGGGAAGGGTAGCGGAGGTACGGCTAATTACCATGTTTCTCTATTATTAGATAGGATTGTTGTAGTTGATTTCAGAGCGGGAGAGGGAGAGAGAGATAGAAATATCAATGATGACAGAAAATCATTGATCAGCT